AGTAATTTCATCTATTGCTTATAAGCGTATGCTCAGTTTGTGCTGATACTGCTTAGTGACAAGATATGAGCTCTCTATACTTAGCATTAATTTTAGCAAAGATGCTAATTTATTGTTAATAGTGTATTACTTTTAATTTGCAGATAGCAGGAGCAATGGCAGAGAAAGGTTGTTCACTGGATGAAATAGCAGTTACTGTTCAAGAAGTGGCAGACTCCATTGGTATATGATTTAATACATGACATTTATTTTCAGCAGTTTTTTAAAATTTGTTTTCTTCTATTAGGTACAATGAGTGTGAGCCTGTCTCCTTGTTCTGTCCCTGGACACAAACCATCATTTCAATTAGGAGAGAATGAGATGGAGTTAGGCCTTGGGATTCATGGAGAAGCTGGAGTAGAGAGAACAAATGTATGTCATTATGTGTACATAAACATGTTTTGTCATTTTTTCTTGTCTTTTCTTGTTGTTTTGTTATAACCTGTGCACACATGTAGTTGCAATCAGCTAATGAGGTAGTTGCTAGGTTATTGGATCACCTTACCTCCACTGAATCAGGATATCAGTACTTCAATCCACCTAATGGTATCATGCAATACTGTATGTACAATAGATATATTTACATACACTAACCATTACAAGCACTATAGACAGTATCAATGCATATTATAATTGTATAGCAACTGTCACTACTCTATTCATTACTTTGTTTCATTGCAGGTACTAATGTTGGATTGGTTGTTAATAATTTAGGAGGAACATCAAATTTAGAGCTATCTCTCATTGCTGGTTCTGCCATTGACTATTTAAGTGAGTCTTTAATGCAACACATGAAAATCACATGATCTTTTTATTTATTAGCTAGCAAGTTATGCTATAATGTTACAAGAGCTTATATGGGATCATTAATGACTTCACTGGAAATGGCTGGAGTGTCACTAACATTATTAAGAATTAAGGATCACTGGACAGAATATCTTGGTATAGAATAGATAATTGTTATATTTTATTTTGTGCTTCATTTTTCTGCAGATTATTCCACTACTGCTCCTGGTTGGCCTACACAATCTAAAGATCCCAACCTAACTTAATCTACTTACAAAATAAAAAAATTAATATTTTTGTATATATTGTGTTTATACATTGTATATATGAGAATCAGAAGAAATCATTATAAAGCAAGCAACACATGAGATTTACTCAAGTATTCCAGCCTCATTGCATTCAGTAAAAAATCATACTAGCTCCATCTAGCTACTTACACAGCCAAGAGTTCACATGTATAATACAAGACACTCCCCAAAATCAATGAATAGAGCCTGATTATAAGTATTGATACAGCCTGACAGGTATCATTGCTAAATCATGCATGTTGCTCTGGCTGAACCAGTATGTATTCTAGCATGATTGTATCAAGGCTGACAGAAGATTCAGCTATGCTCATTGCTATATTAGCTGCCCAACATCCATGATTCAGGATGCATTAGGCCGGATCAGGACTGACATCATTCATGAATCAATCACAAACTCTTGGCTGTGTAGGTGGGCTAGTTAATAACTAGGTGAATATGGGGCGAGTATGAGCCTTTGATGATTTTTTGACCAAGATTGAATAGATGAATCAATCCAGCTCTTAGTTTAATGTCTGCACACATATTCAGACCCTGTCCTCATTGTTTAGGTCTGAACAGAGCAAACACACTAACTAAAAATAAGTTACATAAATTTATTGAATAAATATTTAATAAGTTGAAATAAATATAAAAATTAAATACTAATAAAATATTTAATTAATAAAATATTTTATAATGTTAAATTTTATTATTTATTTATTTGAAAAAAATTAAATAAATAATTTTTAAAAATTATTGAATAAATTTAAAAAATTTATTAAATAAATTAAATAAAAAATTTAAATTTTAATTCTTAAAAATTTAAAATTAAATTCTTATAATTAAAAAAAATAATTTGAAATAAATTTAAAAATTTAATATTAATAAAATATTTAATTAATAAAATATTTTATAATGTTAAATTTTTTAAATTTTTATTTATTAATAATTAAAAAAATAAAATAAATAAAATATTTATTTAATAAATTAAATAAATAGTTTTTAAATTTAATTCTTAAAAATTTAAAATTAAATTCTTATAATTAAATAAATAATTATTTTGTATTAAAATAAATTAAAATAAATTAAAATAAATTAAAAAATAAAATATTAAATTTTAAATAATTTTTCTGAATTAAATTTTAGAGTTAAAAATAATTAATTAAAAAAATTTTATTTTTCGGCAAAGTTCCTTAGCAACTGTTGCTAAGTTACAGTTGCCTAGTAACTGTTGCTAAGTTATAGTTCCTAAGTTACTGTTGCCACAATACGGGTGCCGTACGCGGTAGTGGTGGGCGATACTGGCCAAAATGGATTTGATACAATACCGATCGATATCAGCTCATATCGAGAGCATCGATACAGTTTTGATACGATATTTAGACCACACCTATGGAGTCACACCCCTTATTATTGACTGTTTTCATTGATGTTGTTTTCATGCACGTGTATCCACGTGTGTGTATTTACGTCATTAACTTATTAAAATTTTCATTATTAATATTATTTAACCATAATAAATGGGCGTGGTCAATGTATCGATCCAGATTCCTTCAAAATTTTGATACCGATACGAATCGATACCGTAAAATATTGTTTGTATCAATAAAATATCGATATATCGCCCACCACTAATAATTTAACATACCACAGTGCTGATTGATATCTCTAATATATAAATATTGTTAGTTCTGGTATTCTTAGCATCATCATCAACCTCTAATCCACCAAACAGAACAGCTCTAGTGTTGTTGATCTTTTCAATGATGAAGCCATTAGCAGGTGGTATACACTGACCAATGATTGAAGGATTACTCCATTTTCCTAAATTAAAATTATTAAGATAATTTCAAAATAAACCAATAAAATCTTACTTGATGATAGATTATACATTGAGTGCTCATTAGTACACCAATCTCCATTAGATAACTCAATATATTTATAATGAGGTAGTTGTACAGCTGGTTTAGATCCTACTCCTCCTATCATTAGTAAATGTTGTACTCCATCATGTTTAAATGATATCATTCCACCATGACCTCTCCTCATAACTGGTCTAGTTGCATCAGTTAGTTCTAATTCTCTCCATTGAAGACTGACGGTATCCAGTTGTGTAATACTGTTGTGATAGCAGTCAGGATGGCCACAATAGCCCCCGAAATAATACAATAGATCATTTATTGTAGTACAGCAGTATGCACCCACTCCTAATGGATGAGTACCAGTAGTAGCTCTAGTGATCCATTGACCAGTTGAAGGAGTAAAGTGCTGTATATTACTAGTGATCCTTCTCTTCTCTTCACTATCATGTACTCCAGGTAAACCAGGCTGATTACCAGCCCACACATACAGTGAATCACGTACTGATACAGTGCGGTGATAGGCTCTTTCCTTCAGTTGATCTATACATCAATGATTGACAGTACATGATCACTGGAATAGTAACAATAGGACTCACTTTTAGATCTTTTAGACGCCATATATAGCCAAAGGGGCCAAGGCCCAAGAGGCCAGCGCTGCACATTACTGAACATCAGTGTGAAAGAATTTACTACAAAATCCACACAATAAAAACTAGTAGTGACAAGAGTAATCTGTTCAATCACAGTTTACACACACAAAAATAAGAAAAGAAGATACAAAAATAGAATAATTATTATTAATAGGTATAGCAACAAAAACTATAATTCAATACAGAAAGATTAAAGTTTAAAACTAACTAAAGGCAGAAATTAGAATATCAAAATATCAAATCTTCATCCTTTTCAAAGACTCTACTACTTGAGCCATAGTAGGACGATCATTATGTTTAGCATTAAGTCCTCTTTGTATGAGAGACTTCATATCAGACCAGGAGACTCTACCAGATTGTCGTGCTCTCTCTACTGTCGTCATTTCTGGTTGAGAGCGTAAATTCATTTCCATAAGGAGAACAGAGTAACTGTAGACATCCATTGCTGGACTGTGTCGATCAGGAATAGGAGCTTCTGGTGCAGCATATGCAACATTGCCTGGCATAACAGTACCAGTACTAGTACTGTTAGCTGCA